GAGACCCAAAGCCCATCTGTAGACAATTGGACATCCCATCACAGAAGGGTCACAAGTTAGGGAAGAGCTAGCTAGGGTGCAGTACAGCACTGACAAACACACATTTCTCTAGTTCTTTAATGCTTCCCATGCCCCACCCCCTGCCCATTATCATGATCACAGTTCTACCTTACAAATCTGGCTTGACTGGAGCATGCACACTGATACAGATAAGAGCTCATGACACAGGGAATCTAAGCCAGATAAACCCCTCAGACCAATAATGAGAGATACCATGAGGGTAGGGAGAAAGTGGGGGGAGAAGAGAGAGAAAATGGGAACTGATCTCAATGATTGACATATAACCCCTCCCACCACCAGGGGGACGAACAACAGAAACATGGGTGAAGGGAGATAGTGGACAGTGTAAAGTATGAAAATAAGAATAATTTATAAATTATCAAGGGTTCATGAGAGTGGGAGGATGGGAGAGGGAGGGGTAAAAAGAGGAGCTGATACCAAGGACTCAGGTACAAAGAAAATGTTTTGGAAATGATGATGGCAACATATGTACAAATGTGCTTGAAATAATTTATGTATGGATTATTTTAAGAGCTGTAAGAGCACCCAATAAATATATATATAGCTACAAATCATACATTTACTAAACAAAATATTAATATATGAAGCTACTGTTTCCCAACATATACTTCATCTAGGCTTAAATCAAAATGATAGTTTGGGCATACAAAAGAAACTCAAATTATGTTCCTTTCAAATGTTCTTTTGAGTTTGGGGAAAAAAAGAAGTCTGAAGGAGCAAGCAAGACCAGGGATATGGGGTAAATGGGATAATGGGATGAGGTTTCCAAACACCAGTTCTCAAGGACAACCCTTGCTACCCTCTTGACTAAGGTAGGTACATTATTCTAAAGGAAAAAAGTTCCTCAGTACAACTTTCCTGGCCTTTTTCGAACCAATGCAGTTTTCAATTTTCTTAAGCCTTTTTCCTAATAAACCCTGTGATTGTCTTGTGCCTTTCACTGTCAAGATCACCCTTTTGGAAGCCCCAAAACCTTCTGAGGTAACCGATCTGCCTTAACTTTTAACTGTCCCAACCGATGCCTTTGGAAGACTGCCTTATTTGGGCCATTTATTTGACCGCACCTTAAGAAGACTAACAGAGCCCTGCAGTCCTGGTTACATGGTGGGGCTGAGAACTGCACAGCTGGTAGGTAGCTCACAATGGCAGTGAGAAACCGCCAGCAGCTCCTCAGACAAACTGGGCTTTACTCCTGTGAAGTCCGTCTCAGAAACCCACAGGGGTTCGCTGTGAGTCAGCATTGACTCCATCTCAGTGAGTTTGGTTTTGGTTTAATAAGACTAAGACAATATTGATAGAACTTGTCTATTGTCCTTTGGGGTCTTAAAAGCTTGAAGATAAGCAGGCGGCCCTCTAGCTGAGAACAAAGCCCACATGGAAGAAGCAAACCAGCCTGTGTGATCATGAGGTGTCCATGGGATCAGGTATCAGGCATCAAAGACCCAGGACAAAAAATCATATCACTGTGAATGAGGGGGAGCATGGAGTGGAGACCCAAAGCCCATCTGTAGACAATTGGACATCTCCTACAGAAAGGTCACAAGGAAGAGACAAGCCTGTCAGGGTACAGTATAGCACCAAGGAAACATACAACTTTCCTCTAGTTCTTTAATGCTACCCCCCCAA